CTTCAACACAAATACACACGTCCTGAGTTCTTTACAGATGCCTCTAAGTCCAACTCCTCTGTGTCCTACGCTGCTGTCAGCCAATCCTTTTCGGATGCTGGCCCTCTACATCCAGGCACAAGTATCTTCACAGCGGAAGGTTACGCGATACTTGTGGTGGCTAAACACATCAAGCAATCACAAATACAAAAAGCAGTAATTTATACGGACTCCCTCAGTGTTGCTACGGCTCTGCACAATCTTAAAAAGCAAAAAAACGCTGTCCTCATCTAACTTTACTCTATTTTATGCACACTCAAACAACATGTTGTAGTGTGCTGGGTGCCAGGGCACCGTGAGATCCAAGGCAACGTGATGGCGGATCAGCTTGCTGCATTCATCCACGAAATCAGTTCCACTACACCCATATCGATCCCGCCTCTTGATCTTCAGCCGTCTCTCAAACGAAAGCTCAGAGACTACTGGCAGAGCAAGTGGGATAGACACACACAAAACAAGCTACACATTATCAAGCCACGCCTTGGCCATTGGCCACCAGTATCAAAATCACGTCCAACAGAGGTAACACTAACAAGGCTCAGGATAGGACACACATACACGACACACAGATATATTTTGTCCGGTGGCGATCCACCATAGTGTGACAGATGTGGTGAAGCATTAATGGCCCTACACATGTTAATCCAGGGTAAAGAGTTAGAAACTCTAAGAAAACAACATTTTCCATTACCCTACCGATAACATATACCTTTACACCCTGCAATGTTCGTCGGTAGGGAACCGGTTTTTAGTCATAAATCATTGTTAGCATTTTTAAAAGAAATTCATAGTTTTCATATCATATACCCGGGCATCCCGTAGCACGACTTCTGCAGAGAGGTTTTTGCTGCGGTGGCTACACAAGAAAGCACTTGCCTCGCAGCCCTTGGACACAAGGGCGCTGATGAGGCACTTGTGCTAGTGCTAAATATTTTTACACGTTTGTATTATCAAAACCTTTGTCACCCTTTTCACTATGCGTATCACGTCACTGTCATGTTTTTAATACCTTTGTTTTTACCCGCAGTATCGCGAGGAGTTTTAAGGCCCCTATACAGCCACGCAACATATCATTGTCCACATCTCTATACACATCTAAATGGCGCTCTTTGGCCATCAATTGGCCCTTGCGCCATAAAGCGCCACACATCTTCATCATCATCATCATCAAATCTGAGCACATGGGCCTACAGCAGCATTCTCACCTCCATTGAAAATGTAGCCGCCACAGCGGGCATTTGATCCCGCTGCCTGCGGGTAAGCGGCCGAGTACCTTAGCCTCTAGATACCGTGGCGAGACGGATGCTATGTATTTCTAGCAGTAAATATAACAGAAATGGAAAAAAAGAATATGCACAGCTCTTCGCTTTAATTGACGAAATTCATTCACAGAAGCAAGGTGTTCGCTATTGACAGATTCCCCTAACAACTAGAGCGTTTATTCCGTAAATTAGTGCATGTTTAATGCAAAAAATAATGGGCCGACGAGACGAACACAAGAAGTGACGTGGTCCATGTCATATATTGTGTTAGTCTGGTTAGCGTCTTATTCCGTTAGAAATGTTACAACAAACGGGCCATAAGGGCACATGAAAGTAATGCATGTTGTTGGGCCAGTTGGTAAGTCGGTTTTGAAGACGAATTCAAACTGTGCAAAAATACAACACGTCTGACGCAGAGAAGTCACATACGAAGCGAAAATCGGGCCACGAAAAAAAAATTATTGATGACAGAAGTCATGATTCGTAAGGTTATTGTTAAAGGGATACGGACACAAACATTTAGTTTGGTGTTTTTTTTTCTGTAACGTGTTCTGGGGGTCTGTTAGTCATAGCACGATACATCGTTTACTGCAGAGTGCAACATATAGTTAATTACAGGCTCGTAATTACCGACCAGTTTCAGTTTTGGTTGCAAGAAAAACAAGCCACATGGTTCAACAATCACCACTTAGCACGTGCCACCATGTCAGCACACAGAACTGTGACTCACTTCCACGCGGATCGCATAAAGAAGTTTTTTCGAATGAAAACGGGGCCCCGTATCTGCATGTAATCTGCAAATGTCGTCTAAAGACGATTGTCTTGCGTGTGGAGAGAGTGAACAAAACATTTTTTTGATGTTCTGTGCAAGAAAATTGGTGAATGATATTCTGGAGGCGCTGCGTTTGTGCCTAGAGCGTGCAGCGGAGGTGAACGAGTGCATCACGTCACATCACACGTGAGACATGAGTGTCATTTGGCAGTTTTTGTTTTTGCAAAACAAAGCGAATGGCCCTGAGACGGGCGTGCGCATTCGTATCAGAGGTGATAAGGTGTACAACACAAGGTGTCAGGTAGGTGCCACTAGCTTGCCGTCTTAGCAAAGCGTTGGAAACAATCGCTTCTTCGTGCAAGCGTTGTGTGGTCAGCTCAGCGTGTTAAACGCTACGGTCCTTAGAATTACTTATGTGTGCCTTTTCTAGTAAAAGATGCACATGCGGAATTTATACGTGTTGTTATGGTGCCTCAGATATGCGCAATAATTGCTTTTTAATTGACAATCGCACACGTAGGAATGCTGAATCTTGAGCAACATTGGTGGGCGCTGCCGATGGGGTTGGCCGTTCGGGGTATCGGCTGGTGCTGTTTAGAGCACCCGGTTCGCGGTAAGGGTGGACAAACAGACAAATGGCGGTGGTTGTCGCCATATCTGAGCAACACTGTAATATAGCTTGCGTAGTAATGGGTGCAGTACATTTATGTAAAGTGTATATTAGATGTGAAAGCTGGTAGCCAGCGCTTTAGGCACATCTGGCCTTTTCCCGACATGACGCCAGCTTAGGGTATTTTTAAGCAGGAAGAGGCACTGCGTCGCTCTGTGGTAAAAAACTTGACTGTCATGAAGAATGCTTGGAATCAATTTTAGCTGAAGCCGTGATTTTGCGCCTTGCTTCTATCTAGATGTACGCCCCATAGGCTACACTGCCGACGCCACACCATAGTTTTTGAGACTCGGACTATGTCATACTACCGCGTTCATATTTGCAAAGTGCACATTGTGAATCTGTCGTGGCACATGCCCGCATAAAATGGGCAGCACTGCACTCGTATGTGCCACACGTCATTGCAAGAAAGAGTTCTATAACGTACGTGACAGACATCTCCCTTTATTCGCGCAGTGACCTGCAGACTGTATTCGTGATACACACATGTCTTCCCATGCGAAATGGTTTTTGAAGGAAGGTAGCTTATAGAGCGCGGTTTTTGACACAACCCTAATAAAAATGTTCTGGAATGAAAGAAAAGAAAATATTAATGGTGTGTGCCAAATGAAGAAGATGACCACGAGATAGTGAAGACGCAGGTGACTGATGAAGGTGGGTTTGGTTCGTTAGAAAATGCTTCGCATTTCATAGACCTTCTTTTCAGGGAGTTCACGCCCTAATCTTGCTCGTTCGTGTAACGCGAAGGGAGCAAGGAAAAACAGGGAGGCCAACTACACTGACGACCCTTTCACCACCCTGCACGACAGAAGAGGGGCCAAGGGGATAAAAAAAGAGAGCAAGTGAATCACGTCCGTGCTCGAGAGAACACATCAGGCCTACGGTGAACGTCAACAAAATAGCTCATCTTGTTCATGTGTGCTCAGCTGTGGTCACGTGCTTCAGGAGAAATCTTTTCTAACTTTCTTGAATGTGCTTGATAATTCATAATCACTGTTTAACGCACAAACATACACGGACAAAAAAACAACATGGTCTCTGTCTTTTTTTGTCTTTTTCGGTTTCTTCGCTAAACAGTAACCACGTATAATTTTTTGCTTCATATTTGACGTAAATCCTCCCCCGCCGTCCACTGAAAGCATTTTCCACCTTAGCTGTCTCTAAGATCGGAGGCATCGCAAGGCACCTGGTATCACGGGAAAGAGATATTCAAATCTCTAAACGCACACACACAAACACACGCACACACACACACACACACACACACACACGCGCGCGCGCGCGCGCGCGAGCTAAATTTTGCACTGAACCCTGTAAAGTATGGCTGAAGCCACCACTTCCCCGAAAAAAAACATTTCTGGTTACGATACTGTGCTTTCGGGATCGGCTCACCAAGCAGTAATTTCATGCGATGACGTGTCTCAAAATTAGGTGATCTGTGACGTATGATGGCGTCATACTCCAGTTGACCACGCGAGACGATGGTCAACGCCGATGGTGAATTTTCGCGTTAGATGAGGCATCTCAGAGTCCGCCTTGAATCATGGCATTGTAGAACCCGCCATAGAAGTACATTGCAGGTTGTGAAGTGCCAAGAGATGAGCCACTATGCAACGCAACCAGTTATTAGCTTTGTGTGAGCTAATAGTTGTTACTTTAAAAAATGTACCATCTCCCCGAAGGGGAACTATGATGGGTGCGAAGGAGCAGCGGTGCGCACGGCGTCGACCCGGTTGAAACGGGTGTCGACGAGGGTGCTGGAAGAACGGTTTGAAGCGAAACTCGGTGTGGCGTTTAGTTGAGCAAACGGCATCGCCATTTGCGAAGGCACTTGCTTTTTTCTAAACCTCGCAATGCCAGCGACAGCCGGGTTAGGCGTAGTCGCATCAGCGGAAGTTTAAGTGGTTGAAGGAGCGTCGTCTTCCGGCGTCCTCTCCATTACAGAGAAACTAGCCCAAAGAGTGTTACCACTCGATGTGCGCTCAAGCGCCGCGAGTGGCGGAGAGGGTGAAGCGAGAGAGAAGTGGAACGTACGAACATGTTTAAACGCGTACGTTAGGTGCACGTGAGGTTTAGTGCGCGTGAACCAACATGTCGACAGTGTAGCGAGCGGCAGTCACGGTAGCGAAGCGAGCGTGCGGCAAGCGAAGGAAAGAGGGACATCAGCGTGCACTGCGAGGGGAGCGTGACGTCACACGTACGAAGGAACAGCGCCGCACAGACTAGTCAAAAAACTACTTCGGATCTAAACGAAGAAAGCGTGGCGTTTCTTTGAATTTGAGGCTTTTCTTACGGTTTACACGGACTTAACATAGACGTCTGCCAATGCTTGATGCACGCATTGTGTTATATGCTTGGACTTACGCGCGTATCCGTCACGTCACTTCAGGTGGAGAACAGCTGCAGTGTGCAGTGCACCCCGGCGTATGGCCATGCCTACCACGTGAACATCACGGATGGCCTCTCGTGTGGCGTAGAGAAGGTGAGTGAGCTCTGCCGATCACATTAAAGCAGAAAAAAAGAGGGAGAATTACAAAGCATGGCGGACGTGCTTTATGAACAACTTTCTTAATCAACTCTGGAGCACAGTATTTGACAGCTTGAACTAGCAAGCCCTTGCGACAACGCCACGTCGACACCTTAACCCCATATTTTGCTCGCATTGAACAGTTTAGGTCATCATATTGCAGTCAGCGGCAAGGCGGGCCAGCGTCACTGAAACACTTTCTTCATTCTTGGCAGGACACAGAGACAAGCCTGGGAGTTAATCCCTGTTTTCTTCAAGCGCTAGCATCATAGACGCTCTTCGGCGCATGCGGTCCCTGAATCCCTGGACACGCCCGTTCTAGGATCTGCAACCTGGTCCGATTGGTGTCGGTCGTTGTGCGCCGCTAGCAACGTACAAAAAGGCTGCGTTCCTGGCTCGGCATTGCAGTCAGCGGCAAGACGGGCCAGCGTCACTGAAACATTTTCTTCATTCTTGGCAGGACACAGTGACAAGTCTGGTAGATAATCGCTGTTTTCGTCAAGCGCTGACATCATAGACGCTCTTCGGTGCATGCGGCCCCCGAATCCCTAGACACGCCTGTTCTTGGATCTTCATCACCGCAACCTGGTCCGCTTGGTGTCGGTCGTTGTGGGCCACTAGCAGCGTACAAAAAGCCTGCGTTCCTCGCTTGGCATTGCAGTCAGCGGCAAGACGGGCCAGCGTCACTGAAACATTTTCTTCATTCTTGGCAGGTGGGTCCCTAAACTTCACCTTGCATATAGTGATTTGGTTATTGCCGCTGACTGCACTGCAATGTCTTCCTTGTGTTCATCATGTACCAAGCTTGTCGAAGGCAAATTCCTGGTGTTCTCGAGTTGTAAAGCAAGCTTTCCCCTAGGGAAAAACTGTTCCGCGATCACTGACAGTGCTTATATCAAAATATCTACGGTTAAGCGTGAAACGTGGGCGTGTCAGATGTGCAAGTCTGGCATGGGTTCAGGTGATAGCAATGGTTCACTTGTTCCCCAGTTATCTACTGTCAATACCGAATTGGACCAGCTGACTAGCACTGTTGAGATGCTTGTGTTGAAAGTTCAGGAACTGCTCTCTTTCAAAGAAACCTCTGGATAGATGGCAGGCACTGTGACAGAAATTCAAACGTCTATTGAATTCCTGCCAGAAAAATATGATTAAATTCTCTCTACTATGACTTGTAACCAAGCCGGAATCTCTCATCTAAGATCTCAGGTGGAATCGGTTTCCGTTACAGTTGCCCATCAAGCTGAAGTTCTTGACAGAACGACAGTGCAAATAAATGAACTAGAGCAATATGGCAGACGTTGTAACTTTGAAATCCACGGTCTCCCTTCTAAACCACGTGAAAACCTAAGGTCCTTCATTATTTACTCAGCTGGACGTTTGAACCAAGTACATCGTTGGCCAACCCACGATATATCTACACGCCGCCCACATATTCTTGTGCAAGTAGAGAACACTTCGGTAAAATAAAAATGGCTTCGAGCTCGAAATGGCCTTTGTGGTCTTGCCCAGTCCGATGACTTTCCTCGTTAGTTCATTAATGAAAACTTGACATGGATGAACCGAGAACTCTTCCGATTGACCCACTCGAAAGGAAAAAAAAAGGTTATAACTTCATGTGGACGAGGGACGGAAATGTGCTTGAAGAAAAGCTGAAGGAGCACCTACCATTCGCATTGAAAAACTGTCAGATTTGGATAAGCTGGCCTAAACATGGCGGATATGGAAAGTATCACCTGTACCGACTTCGCGAATGCAGCTAAATTCCTTTATGGTGCCTCATCCGACGGCTTCAAAGTAGCGCATGTCAACATTCGTAGTCTTCGGAAACATAGGAATCAGTTCTGTGCCATCACTTCCTCATCTCGCCTATCTTTTGATGCTTTCGTCCTTACTGAAATCAACATTTCATCCGAACAATTTTCACAGTTTGCTCTGCCGGGTTACTAAGCTTTTTCATATACACGCCCAACAAGAAAAGGAGGAGGCATTGCTGTTTTAATAAGCAACAGATGTGCAGTTTCGCAGCTATCCTTGTCTTTTTCACAAGCTGAAGCGTTAGCACTGTGCTTGAACACGCCCGCTTTTTCAGTGACTCTTTTATCGGTGTACCGGCCTCCCTGTTTCAATACGTGCCTTTTCTTATCTTAACTTGAGTCCACACTATCATCTATATCGATAGAAGAGCATGCGTGCATCATAGGAGACGTCAACATTGACCTTTTGCGTCCCACTGTAGGCCTCGTTGCTGATTATCTAGACAGCCTTTCTAAATGGGGCTTATAAATGGGGCTTATAAATGGGCTGAATAAATCAAGCGACTCGAGAGGAATTTTTGGCTGGCAAGCTCGTCATGTCGTGCATTGACCACGTTTTCGTGCGTGCGCGGAACCTTCTCACAAAAACCGCAATAGTACAGACGAAGATAGCTGACCATAACTTTGTTTGTGGCTCAATCAGCTGTCCAGATATGACGACGATGCCAACCGATAAAAAAAACTAATTTCGGTGCTAGATCAAAAAACAAAATTGATAATCTGGTAGCTTATTATGGCTGGAATTCTTTTTTGTCAATAACGTTTTCTATTGATCTCTACGATAAAGTTGAAGAAGCGTTCATAAGCTTAAGTGCGACGCGAGCAATACACATTAAAAAACGTAAATTGGATAAGAAATGGATGTCAACACATTTACTGGCTGCAATAATAAAAGAAAAAGACTTTGGACACAATGTAAGCGTTATCCTAACTGTTCAGACTTGCGAGCCAAATTTAAGCAAAGCAGAAGCAAGGTTAATGCTATGATTCGCTCGGCTAAACGAACCCATTTCCAAGCCAAATTTAAGGATGCCAGTAACAGCAGCAAAAAAACCTGGGCGTTAATTAACACCTTTGGAGGTGCAAACACTCGTGTCTATATTTTGAATAACTTTTTTTCGAGTCAAGCCATTAATGCACAGGAGATTGCTGATGAATTTAACAACTTTTTCTCTCGAACAATTAAAAACACAAGTTCCCAGGTAGGCCCGTGCACTTTACGTCACAGTGTTAGCGAATCGGCTTATCTACCTTCAATATCACATGAGGACATACGATCTATCATTTTCAGTTTGAGTGTTAAAAATCTGCTGGTATTGATGCTGTTTCTATAACCGACTTGCACCGTACATTTGAATACGCCCATGAAGTTCTGCTAGCACTAATAAATCGCATTATTTATAGTGGAGAAATTCCCATAAATTTGAAAACATCAATAGTTGTGCCTCTACACAAAAGCGGTGCGCGTGATAAAATTGAATATTATCGTCCGATATCAGTTCTGCCTTCTATAGCACAAATACTAGAAAAACATTGGTTGTTAACGATGACAAGCTTTCTCGATAGTAACAACATTTTATCGCCTTGCTAGTATGATTTTCGACAGGGGAAAAGCACTCGGACGCTATTGGAAGACTTCTCTGATCAGTTGAACGAGGCATTCGATAACAACAAAGTTGCCTGTGTGCTCCTTCTTGACTGCAGCAAGGCGTTCGATAGTGTCCATCATACCTTGTTATTGGATAAACTTTTTCAGTTAGGGTTTAGGGGTGCTTTCTGGTCTTTGTTGGCAAATTTCCTCCAAGGCAGGTGTTAACTTGTATCCGTTGAAAAAAATTGACGTTCCACAGGGATCAATTCTTAGTCCGCTGCTATTCAATGTTTTTGTAAATGACCTTCACAGCACGATACCGGTTTCTCTATATCAATACGCCGATGACACTGGGATCGTGACGACTGCAAACAACTTTTATGAGGCGATTACCCTTCTTCAATCAGTTGCCACTAAAGCCATGGATTGGTTTCGAGATAACCTTATTAAATAATTGTGTCTAAAACTAATCTAATCTGCCCCCATAATCCTTTGAAGAAAGTAACCCTTGACTATCCTTTAATTTTGCATTGTTCTGACTGTTCATCCTGCTCTTGTAGGCCATTACAGTATTCATCTGTTGTGAAATACCTTGGCTTACACATTGACAGTGACCTTTCCTGGAATAGTCATCTCGCTTATGTTTGCGAAAGACTTCGCGCTGCGTCATGTCTATTATATAACATAAGATACAACATGCCGTTTTCAGTACGTAAGATGATAGCACACGCTTTATGTTACTGTATACTGCGTTACGGAACACCCATTTACGGACACTGTGCTGTACTATGGCACAATAGAATAAACAGAATATTGCGTTCGATTTTAAAAAAATATATCTTACGACCTGCACTTGAATTCTGAGAGGGACATTTTAAAAACGCTGTTTAGGCCAAACTTCAATGATCTGTTAAATCAAACGGTTGTTTTAAAACATTTCTAGTCCAAAGAATTCCTGGTTCCGTATGTTACTTCTCGTTCTTTAAGGCCCAAAGTACGTTACTAGAGGCCGCGGTGTTCAACAAAATACGGAACTAGAATACGAGCCCATTATGTCCCAACCTATTTCAATGTACTACCCCTCAGCATTTTTCGCGCAAAAACAAAATACAAATTAAAGAAACTGCTACGGCGTATCTGTCTACAATTGTTATGCATGTCGTGTGTTATTTCATATACACTTATTAGCAAGCATGATGCTGCATGATCGAGTGTGGTACTTTGCTTAAGAAGCATTTGCTATAATTCTGTTCTGTTTTCCTTTATACCTTTTCACTTTCCATTGCTGGAACTATTGTATAATGCTTGTAACTATTCCTTGTATGCCCTGTTGTTTCTAATCTTATATGCACGTCGTTTTTTGTCCTATCATCTCTCTTAGGCCATGAAATACAATCTTGTAACGCGTCCGGTTTGTTTTGCGGTCTGTCAGGCTCTGCCACTCAAGCCCTGGCTTTGGCAGGCCTAGTCACATGTACTGTTTTATTTGAAGAAATAAAATGTATTATTATTATTTTATTGTCCGAGAATCATTAGTGAATGGAATG